ACACTTACGTCACATTGTGCTCTAAGGGCGTATTCCCAGACATTTAGATCGATCTATCCCCGTGGGGAGTCTCACTAGATTACTGTCAGATAATCCGGCTTAAATGTCCGTCCCACCTACTACTAGCTGTTAGGGGGTAATTAACTTTCGTGTCCGCCCGGCTGACAGCTATTTAGTGTGAACCCCCAGGGAGTTAGGTCGATCTAAAGTAGGTCGATCTAATCTCTGGAAATGGGGTCTAAGCGTCTAGTTACACGCGAACATCAACCGTGTACGACATCCATCTCTTCAGGAATGCACCTTTGTTGTTGGAGCTACACACGCAAGAGAACAGGAGTGGTGAGAGAGTGTATGTAAACATAATTCTCTTCACCTTACCTGTATTTATAGTTCACTTAAAAAAATAAGTTAGACCTAGTTGGGGGCATCAGTCGTTGGCTTTTTTAATTAAATAGGAATCCTACAGGACTCTCTGGTACTCTATAAGACCCTATAGAAATCCCACGGGACTCTATAGGAATTTATCAGACGGGTTATAGGGTTCTATAGGACCCTGTAGGGGTTTGGACCAATTTACCATAAGACGTCCTTTAGGACCCTAAAGGATATTCCCGTAATAGGGTGATTATATTATAAAAGAAATCTTACCCAGGAATTCTGGCTCCCTGGAATCTTCGGCATTTAGTATCTTCAACACATAGTGTTCAGTCACATCTACATTGCCTTGGTCTCCACTAGTTCTGACGGTCACGTGAAAAGTCTGGTCAAGAAAGCTGTCCTTTTCGTCCACAGTCTCGGTGGTCAAGCCGTAGAGTTTGTCCATCAGATGCTTGACCGTGCTGGTCGTCACATTTGGCCGCACCGTGAGTCGCGCCATTCGCCTACTGTACTACTGTACTATACTGTACTGGTACAGTTGTAGTGTGTAACGACCTTGAAGTGAAATTGTGTTTATAACTGTATTGTACTCAAAATCCGTTGATCCGGTTCCGGCTTTAAAAAAATTATGTCATTGTGAGGTTGCGTGCTTCTAACATAAAAAGGCTTTGACGTGTTGCACTGCCTGAGCTATATGAGACTGCGTTTGAATTTGACCTAGGTCTGACATCGCCAATTAACAGTCTTGTCATTCGTCACCCGGAGGATATATTGCATATAGATAGTCGCACATTATATTTTCCAAACCAGTGGAGCAACTGCCATAAAACTTGGACATCCTTTTTATGTCCAAGCAAAAACCAAAGTGTATACACCTCCTTGCTTAAACCACGCCTAGGATTTGAAATAAATGCTCTACTGCCTTGCTGTGTTCGACACACAGGCACGTAGTTTCCAAATATGTCCCACGCCTCGCCGCACTTTAGTTTCGCATCTTTACTTTTAAGGGATAACGGCACTTCGTATGAGATTTAAAATCCCACAATAAATGCATTTTACCACCAAAAATGTGCCTATCGCATTTTTCTGGAATATGAGCTTCTCTTAGGAGATTATTACAAAAAGCACACTCTAACAATAAAATAAACGACCAACCTTGAATGTTCAAACAGATTCATTTACCATTGGAAAGTATGGGTAAATTTTCGTTTACCCCAGGTTTATCCGCTTCATGGCCAAGAAGAAGAAGAGTTATTATATCTTCTGTTCAAGCAGTGCTACCTTCAACTTAAGGCCCAGTATCTGTATATTAGGTCCTACTGGGTAGCTCTCACCGCGGGATATGCAAAAATGATAACCAAAACGGAAACGGAATTTTTCCTTCGAAATTGAATACTGTTTAATCGGTATCTACGCAATCAACGTTAATAACTCGATCACTTTGTGATTTACAATTTCTTAGATGATCGCCAAGATGCAGTGTACTTCAAGTACAGAATTCAGGGCCGTAGCCTCCAGGGGGGGCAGGGGGGGGCAGCTGCCACCCCTGGGATTTGAGGTGCAAAAAATAATAATCGCAAAGGTAAAAAAAAAAATTGCAAAGTTGGTATCAATTCTGTGAGAAAATGCACTCATGGCCACTAGACAATCATTCAACAATCTGTTTACAAAGGTTTACTATTTTTAGCCAACTCAGTTCACGCCAAAAAGCTCACCCTCCCTTAGGGAGCTATCCCCCAGGCTGTACTTATGGCAAAATGAACCCACAATTTCTGACTTCTGATTGAGCAATAAATAACAGTTAAAATGCACCAGAATGCAGTATCATACATACAGCTAAAAAAAAAATTTCCACACCCTGGGAGGGGGACACCCCCTCCCACACCCTCCCCCCTCGTGGGCTTCGCCCCCTCGTGTCCGCTTACTGCCCACCCTGGGATTTTGCTCAGGCTACGGCCCTGGAATGCGAAAATCAAAGTTTAACTTTAGTATAGATTTACCGCCTTATTTTACAATAAAGATTATCTTATTTTCATTACATAATGGTATGGATGTAGGCTACTGTTTTCTGGTTCCTGTCTCCCATTGAGATATTCTCCTTAAATGTACAATTATCTTGATGAGATTCAAATCGCTTGCATGGCAATTCTTTCGTGATTGTATGAAAGAAGTGAGAGTATTCTAAAAAGCTCTCGTCTTTCATCATCCAAGACGAAGCCAAAGCGGCCTCAGGGGTCTCTAAGATGGGTCGAACCTGCTAGATCGATCTAGGCATGGGAATGGGGTCACAGGAAACTGGTATATAAGGATGTGAATGGCGGATTTACCATTAGGCCTATCTAAACGAATAGTGTGTTCTTGGCACAACTAATACATTCAAAATGATGCATGGAGAGTCAGCCTGTTTTATATGTGCTATCGTTGTCACTTACGGATTTACAATTACCTAAACCAAATATGTATACTTTGCTCAACTAACACATTTAAAAAATAACATGTGGACAGTCAGCCCGTTTCTATATTTGTTATCGTTGTCACTTAAGCCCCCTTTACACATGATGATTTCCTTTCTGCGTCCCGCGGTACGGCCCCGTTTGAGAGTAAAAAAATAATTTACGTGCCGACAGCTGGCCAATCATTGAGCATTCATTCTGCAACCAAAGCGATGCTTGTACCCGTTACTACGACTACAGTGATGCCTGTTTCTTGGTCGCACAAAGGACTCTGAAAGGACGCCGTTCAGTGTATAGTTTTTTTTTTACAGATAATACCAGTAATGGACATCGTGTTGTCTCGTGTTGTTGCAAAGCACGGAATCTGCCGATTTCAGTATGTAATGAAGATACCTGAGTCAAGGAATAAGGCCAAGAACCCAATGCATAAAAACCTAATATCTGAGTGTTTTTTGAAGAAACTTTCACTTCAAATTTAAATATATAGGGGGCCTATTGCAGATGACGAAATAATCTGCAATGTTCTACGTTACAGAGTCTCGTAACTATGTCAGTTGATCCGTTTTCATCCTAACCTAGTCTGGGTGGGAACAAGTCTTGATGAAGTCCTTTCCTTCAAACGCAGTAACTGATTATGTAGAGTTATCACCTTCTGCGATGCTAAGACGTGTTTATTTTACCCTCTGCACTACATCGCTTTCTGCAAAGAACACAAAGTCGCTATTTTAGTTAAGTCGATCTGACTTAGGCCGCATTCACATCGAGTTGAGCCATGGCTCTACAAAGGCACGACCTAAATATGGCGGACGTACATGAAAGGAAAACCGCCTAATCTTTTAATAGTCTCTCCGCCTCTCACACGCCTCCCCATGCGTCGTCCCTGCGGGGATACAGTCATTAAATATCGGCTCCGTTGGGACGACACGTGGGGAGGCATGTGAGAGGCAGAGAGAGAACTAAAAGATTATAGGCGGTTTTCCTTTCATGCATGGCCGCCATATTTAGGTCATGGCTTTGTAGAGCCATGGCTCAATTCGATGTGAATGCGGCCTTAGTCAATGCTACAACTGTAATTTACTGGGGTTACTGGGGGGGGGGGGGGGTCTCCGGCTCGTACTGTAAATCATTGTTCAACCCGACCTTATACTTGGATTAACTTTTCGTACAATTTCGAATTAGAAATCTTAGCTCTAACCGAATCATGATTCATTTAGACCCTTATCCATTTTCGCGACATTCCTGAAGGAAATGGCGATATCGGATACTTATATTTGATGAGTTACATCGTTTTTTTAAGGTCTGGATTTAGGGGAAATACGTATCTTTGAGGGATATTTATCAGACTTGGAAAGATGGCTTTGGAAAAATGTCAAATGCGTACAAAAATACATTAAACCAACAATCAGTAGCTGTTACAATCAAACCGTGTCTTGGAGAACGACTGATTCTGATTCTGATTCTTTTCCCAAAATTTATTTGATGGGATACTGTTCAGACATGCCAGATTTAGTTTCAGAATAAAATTAGCATCTTTCTTTTTAATTGAATGTCAAAACCGTAAACAGTTGGAATACGCAATATGCCAAAATAAATATTATCTAAGTATCAAGTTGTTCTATTCGAGAACGTGTATTTCAGACCGAAAGGAAACTGTCCTTTTTAAAACATTTATTTCTCCATGTAAAAGATCTTCATGCAGTATTGTGGCAATGCAAGAGGTCAATGCAAAATCGATAACTTTTTTTCGGAGAAATGATACAAAAATTGGTTCAATTCAAGTGAATCCCTGTGCATGCCAAAAAGGGTATCTTCATACAGTATTGCGATAGTGACAAAAAGTCTAAACAAAATCAACAACTTTAACGGAGAAATGATACAAAAATTGATTCAATTCATGTTTATCCCGGCGCATGTGAGATACTGGGACGGTTTGTAGTTGGGGTCCGCTTTCATCAGCTGTCCGCAGGTGAAAGTCCCTATGCCGGGGAATTCTCTCTTCCCGTTGAGGTCACAGCAGGGGTTACAGCGGAGAATTGAACTGAAGGGGCGTGTCTCTTGGACTCTCGAACACTCTGGTCCAAGCTCCCCTTTGATGTAGGCAGCTTCGCACGTGATCTGGTAGCGCACGTTGTTGCCTTGCTCGACTAAGCATTGGAACTTCATGCAGGTGCAGAATTCTTCTTGATTGGGGACAGCCCTTTTTGTTCTCACTGAAATGGGAACTGTCTGTGAATATTGGGCCTGTTCAGAACCAGATGATTCGCAGGCTAACTAGTCCATGGACCAAATATGGCGTGCACTTGACAATGGATTCCAGTCTCCTACGCGCAGAGCATTAAATCTCGGCACGCTTTTAAGTAGGTCACGCCATATTCGATCCGCGGCCAAGTTAGTCCGCGGATCAACTGATTCTGAACAGTCCCTTTGTGTACTTGACGTGCGCAAATTACAGCCGAAGTAGAGAGGTTATTTTTAATCGGCGTTGGTTTGTTTGTGGACTCGACCAAAAAAGTTTGGAAACGTTTTTATTTTATTTTATTTTATTTTATTTTATTTTATTTTATTTATTTATTTATTTGGACTAATTATAAAATAAGCATATGAGCTAATGAAAATGTTTTAGCCAAATATTTATGGATAATGCACCCACCATTCGTTATTTTTTATACACACTGAAGATTTCCTCATTTGTCAATTATTGAAAAACAATTTCATGTTTTCCAACTTTTTGGGTTGAGTGCATATATTTATAATATAACAATAAGGTACAGTTTGCTTACTTCTACTAAGTTATAGATGGAACACGTAATACTTACGCGACTTTATAGGGGGCGGTGCAGCCAAAGCGAGAGAGAAACACATCGCAAGCAGGACGTAAGTGTTCATCTGGAAAGAATTCATATAAAATCAATGGACTGAATCATTGAAGAGAGAGAGAGAGAAGGAGAATGAGAAAGGGTGAGAGAGAGCCCAACACCCTCCCCTTATTTTTCGAAACAAAATACTAAATATAGTCTCCATCCGTCCTCAAAAACTTTTTTAACTATTTAATTTGTGGCCCACAGGCACAACAATATACCTTTAACTCATTATTACATTATTTTCAAAAATAAACAAACAAACAAACAATTACGATACCGGATGCTTTTCATCGAAGGTTTATTATAATGATATGCTATTGGTGTTCATATGTTTTTTATTTCGAATCTTCTACAAGACAAGATTTGATATCAACCCATTAAGTTCGCAGTTTTAAAAACGCGTTCTTCAAGCACGGCTTCAGAGCACTTACCTTGTAAATGGTTTTAAGGAAACTTCACAGCCACGTTCCAAATGTCTTCAATAGTACCCCAACACGGTTTAAATCTTGGCCTGTCAGGGGAAGTTCGACGTCTTATAGGGCCTATATACCAAACAACAACACCCCGAGATTCTAAATTTAGTCTATAACTCGCCTCCATTCAACTTGTTGATGAAATAGAAAGGTGTCTGTAAATTTTGAACCTCGGGGTGATCGAACTGAGGGTCGTATTTGCATCCAAAATTAAAACGTTATCATTTGACTCAAAGGCGCCTGTGTTAAGTGTGAATTTTATCATTTTTGGGATTGCAGTAAACTGTTTGCTAAGTCTTGGGCCGATAACCAAGTGGCGGATTAAGAGGTGGGGGGGGGGGGGGGGGTCAGGGGGTCTCGACTCCCACCCCTTCGGTTTTCGAAAAATATATCACACCAATATTCCCCTCTTGAAATAAGAATTTTGACTATCTAAATTATAGTCCTAAACCTTATCAAAGGGCACTGTTTTTCTTGGGAGCCCTTGAGCAGGCCCCGAACCCTACACCAAGGGACGATGGTCGGCTTCGCATCCGAGGCCCGTCGTTCCGGACCCCTCCTTCAAATAATCCTGGATCCGCCCCTGTTACCTAATGCAATATACACAACCTATTCAACCAAGCACTGACGAATCTGGGATTTTGTTGAGGGGGGGGGGGGGGGGGGGGGGGCAAGGACAGGTTTTTTTTTTATCTCCGCTACGCTCAAAGGATATGGCATTTTTGACGAGGGCAATTTCTTATAATAAGTAGGGCACGAAGAAACTGTTTTAAAGTATTCTGTTTCCTGGAGGGGAGAATGGTTACTACCGCGGCTTAAGGTGGCGTGAGGGTGGCACATGACTCACAGTATACCCTACCTTCTCTGCTCCATAGTGCCAGAAACATGGAGAACACGTGCTGCTTGTGTTTTTTTTTTTAATGTTTTTAAAATCATTTATATATTTACAGACTAAGCCTTCTTTGATTTTTAATCTCTATAGTGAAATAAAAATCTACATAGTGGAGAACACCACCTGTTTGTTCAGGCCTGTAGTTGAAAGAACCGCACTTTTTGTTTGGAAAAGGTCCACTCTGGGCAAAATTTGATCTAGGTACATGAGAATTTTATGGTAAAAGGTCCGCTTTTTCAGAAAAAGAACCCCATTCTAAAGCTGCTAGCTACGGGCCTATTATTTTGTTTTACAGGGGACTAGACGCTTTCTTTCGTAAAGTATCTAGTGAAAGACACTTTAGTGCACGTTTAGTAGATTAGTAATATCAAGGACAGTCGCGTTTACATCAGTTTCGATTTAGGCCTGTTTAAATCTTTGAGCCTTTTAACATCCAAACTGAAAATCTTAGCGAGACAGCTGAGTAGATATTATTTGACAGACTGACTGCCTACTTGCGGAAAACTTGTGAAAGGAAGTTGTAAGTTTCCTGTAGCGTTATATCTAAAATACAAGGCTCGATGTAAAAAACCTTTAAACTTGACCAGTGTGATACATGTAACTCCTGTCTTGGAAACAGATAGGCACATATACGCGATTCTAGACAGTCGGGCCCGTAGCCAGCGAATTCAAAAAAATTTTACATTGAAACTTTTGTGTACCTTGATCAAAATTTGTTACCCAGGATGGACTTCTTCCTGACAAAAGCCCTCCCCCCTCCCCTGGCTACGGGCCTGACCTCACCCGTGACGTCATAGAGCACGATGGCTAAAAATTATTGGCGAAAAAAAAATCAGCGTGCACTTAACCCTTCTGAAAATATTTAAAGGTAGAGTTTTTTAACGAGCCATGCATTCGTCTTGCGACGTCAATTTTGCTGCTTACACGAAATGGAGAAGTTGGTAACTTGCGAATTTCTTTCTCTTTTGTGTGCCAGCGCTCATTTCAGATTATCAGGTTATATAGTCACAACTAAACAGCTTTTTAACAACTTGTATATACTGCTTACACTATCACAGCGTTTTACATATGGAATAAAGCGGACACACTCGTAGTTCCTTTTTACGGTTATTCTTTTGACGACACAGGACCCATTTTTATTTTAATGAAAATTTCCTTGATTTTCCAAATGCATACTTTATTTGATAAGACCAAGCGTAAGTAATAAGTAAAAGCATTGCTTCTGTCACACAAAGATGTTATTTTTTTTTTTTATATACGTGTGAGGATCATTGTGGAATTGAAATTAAGAGGTGTAAAATTTCATTCAGCAGAGTGACCCAGATAGGAATACAATTTTGGGCTCAAGCTTTCCCTTACCGTCTACCAGCTTTCTTCATACTGCGTTTGATCCGTATTTCCTAGATTTTTATTTAAACAAGTTTTCAGACAACAAAAAGCCTAGATATTATGCGAATTTAACTCACATTTTTTTTCGAAGCGCCAGTTGAGTTTGCATTTTGTTAATCATGACCATTTTTACATATGGGATATATTGTCATTGGTAGTGCACACCAGGAGGCAGTCGCGATCGCAATGGAGTGCTTTTTTCACACGAAATCCTCATTGTTAGGTTAACTAGAAAAGTAAATATATTGTTGGTAAGTCAGTTAACATTAAAACCACCAATCAGCTAACAAAGGGGTGTTTATTATATCTTGTTTACCTTTAGAAAATTGTAATCGTGCATTTGCCGCTGTTTTGAAAGTTCACGTTGCGCTTATCGCCTTTTTGATTGATAAAATTGCCAAGAAAAGTAAAAATATGAATTTTACGCAACACCTCAGCCTTTTTTCCAAAACCAAAAATCAATTTTATTACTTGGACATTGCCTGGTTTTATGGAAGAAATCTACATGACGGAAATTGTAAATTTTCAAGTTAAGTGAGATAAGGGAAAATTTAAGTAAAGAATTCCGACTGATAAACAAGCCGAGTGCACATGCATTCAACGCCATTAAAATTAAAAAAGTCTGGTGATCGTTTTTCCATCTGTACACGTCTTGCGTTTTTTAACAAAAGAAAAAAATGTAGAATATAATTTTATTCAACTATTATATACAGTAACATTTAATTCCAAAAGTACTTTAGTACTCATTAATGAATCATGAAAACGCAATGGATCAATAAATGGTTGTATTATTGAAAGTTTTAATATTTCCATTCCCGTCTTTATCATCAAAGATCAGAACGCAAACAGTCCGATAATGCTGGTCTTGTGGTCGGCAGCTGGTACCCGATGCTTGCGGGCCGTGGGGAAAAACCCGTCTAAACCCTTCGTGGGGAATGCCGGGAAAATGCCCACGCCCGAATACTTCAGTCTTTATAACATGATAACTTCAGTTTTTTATTGCTACGGCGCCTTAAAGTTCAAGAATATCTTCCCGTTTTAGACAACATGGTGTAACTGTATTTTCTCTCGTGACAACAAACGTCTCTACATACACTATATTAGAACACAAGATGAAGCACAAGAATTTAAGAAAGTACGTTATTCCTACTGAAAGAGGTACTAAAGACAATAAAGACATTTACCAGAGTCTTAACACAATTAAACTGAGACTTATATTAATGTCATAAATAAAGAAACTAGATCCTTTTACAACTGAAAGCATCCATCAAAACTTGAATATAGTTCTTCTATATGATAAAATGTATAAAAAGTTCAGGTAATACGTTTATTACCCAGACACCTCAATGATTTAAACTAAACTTTGACATATAACCGTTTAAAACAGAAGTTTCTCAAATGTAATTTTGCCCTGAAATCGCAACTACCTGTATGATACAAGTAATGAATAAAGCAAGCTTGCTTCGACATATTTCACTGTATGACCGTCCATGTAAATTTCAATATGACTTTTGGGGTCCGGAGAAAAGGGTGCATATGTGATGATCTGGATATATTTGTCAGCTATAACACTTGAGAAAATCATAATACTAGTGATATTAGTAATGTGCGATCCTCTATCTTGAGAGATGCCTGAATGCATCCAGCCATCCCTCACGAGGAGCAGACTGCACAAGACATATAATGAAATATTTTCACAAACGTAAAATATTTCATTATAGATCTTGCACCAGCCGTCAATGTAAAACCTCTTCATGTAAAAACATTTACATGAAGTAAGACTTTACAAAGATGTGAGGGTTAGTTGAGGTTAGTGTGCGGATTATGATTTTCTCAAACGCTATACTGACGAACAACTCCACATCATCAACAGCACAAATTTGAAAATCGACTACATCACTAGGATTGAAATAAAACACAGACGACCATAAGTGGTGGCGTTTTGTGAGCGAAAACCTATCTGCATTTGGAATGTGGATAAAGCAACTACATATTCTATTTGAACGTTAAATAATACGTAACTGTAGAGGTTGACAAAATTTTCACACAGAACCACAATTCATCTTATTCAATTGAACATTTATGGAATTAAGAACGAGCATCCTGAACTTCGGTGCTCTCTTAAGTTATTGGAATAAAATGTTCCACTGTCATAACTGAAAAAACTTAATGCAATTACACCCGACACGTGAAGCGCATAAATTCTCAATATCCAAAAGACTTGAGTACATTATTAGGTTGTACCAGTATTCCTCTTACATTCAGTATATCACTCTTCATTATCATTCCACATTCTCTATTTTTTTTTTTTTTGCAGACAAGCTGTGTCCTTAAAACGAAGACTGCTAGGACGTCCGGTCATCAATGTAAGTGGCTACAGGGGCTCGTTGCTAGCGACATATAGTGTTGCACATTTGCACATTTAGGCGAGGATTGATAGTTTCTGCGTTCTAGCATCATTTCTGGAAAACTGCCCTTTCGTAACCTACAAATGAAACGTAATTTAAAGTATGAAAAGCAATTGAAAGCTTGCAGTAATTGCAAAAAAGAATATGTATTTCACTGGTATTTACACACCGTTAATACTAGTATTTATTTTGATGTTCCATTATGTTATGGTTCTTAACATGACTACTTTTTATTTTATTTTATTTTGTTTTGTTTTACTTACATTTTATTTTATTTTATTTTCACTTCTATAAAACAACACAAGAAAATCACATTATGATTTATAAGAGTGCTAAGATTCTACAATAAGAAAGTGACTGAAGAATAAGAGGTATATAAAGGAAGGCACATTAATCACAAAAACGTCTAACGATCTAAACAATATAAAAAAGTGAAAATACATGCTCACCTGTACGATGGCCTTTTAGTACCACAACCGCAGCACTTAGGGTGAGGTTGGGGGGTAGTAGCTCCCAGTATTCTAGACCAGTGACAACGCCACGTGTGTCGCATTGGGACTGTGAAAATCTGAAATTTGGCCGATAGGAAGTCAAAATATTTTGTGCGAGTGATTTTTTTTTGCAAGTTTGTGACAAATTAAAAGAGCTTTTGGATTCTAAAATGTCTGGACTAAGAATTTCCTTGAATAAATTGTAAATAGAATACAAATGTCTACATTTAGTGACTAGATAACGGTTTCCAAAAGGTATAATTTAAAGTTTTATGAGAAGAACAAAACTGCTATTGTTTGATACCAATGATATTTGGATTGGTCCATTTTGATCCCTTTCGTCTAAAAGTAAAGACTAACTTAAAAAACCTTTTACAAGGGACCCAGTGATCCGAATGAGTAGCAATGAGTACCTGTGCCATGTTGACTGAGGAGTAAGACTTCATGTCATCTTCTGTGCTGTCCAGCCGCTTTGTTTTCACGTTGCGATTTTTCAGGGTCTCATCTCCTTTTCCTTTTCTTTTGTTCTCTAAAACGGTAACACATTCCAATTATTATTAAGAATGTTTAAAGAATTACCAACCCTTTGTTGTATCAATATTTCTATTATTTTCTGTGTAATCAATGACTGCGACATACTAATTATTGTTTGGACAAATAGGTTTTTTCAGAATGTATATGCATTTGGTGTGAAGACCATATGATTTTTCAAAACGGCTTTTGATTCGATTTAGTTTTTAACTTATATCGTAATTCTAAAAATGTCAAGGTCTTAAAATTTTATATTTTAAATATATATTCAAATGCAATCCAATCCAAATTCATTGAAATTTGTATTCGGACCAGTGAATCCTTATTTAGACCAAAAGATTTTGGGAAAGTTTAGGTCCAATAGCCAGTAAGGCGAAAAGCTTATGGCAAATCATTTAAGTCTATTTCTCGCCCCAATAACACGGGTTACCTCTAAGGGTTTTCCATCTCAGTGAAACACCATATGCCTTGGACGCTTCCCCGATGCAGCCACCTCGTAGACAAACCATTGCAGGACTCACTGGACGCTTTCCCGATGAAGCCACCTCGTAGACAGACCATGGTAGGACTCGCTAGACGCTTTCCCGCTGCAGCCACCTCGTAGACAGACCATGGCAGGACTCGCTGGACGCTTCCCCTATGCAGCCGCCTCGTAGACAGACCATGGCAGGACTCACTGGACGCTTCCCCGATGCAGCCATCTCGTAGACAGACCATGGCAGGACTCGCTGGTCGCTTCCCCATTGCAGTCACCTTATAGACAGGACGTGAAAGGACTTGCTGGCACCAAGGATTGATGGACGTAGCTGAAGTGTAGATGTGGCCCTCTTCTCCTTGCACTTGTCAGTGGGAGCTCTATCGAAACAGAAAGAAAATAGGATTAATGACTTTTTCTACCTATGTTAACACTCTGCAGTCAGGCTTACCTTTAAAGGTTTTCCATCTCAGGGAAACACCACATGCCGTCGACGCTTCCTCATTGCAACCATCTTGTAGACAGACCATGGCAGGATTCGCTGGACACTACCTCAATGCAACCATCTCATAGACGGGCCACAGCAGGACTCACATGACACTTCTCCAATGCAGGCACTTCGTAGACAGACCATGGCAGGGAACTTCCTCATTGCAGCCACCTCGTAGACAACTAGCAAGACTCGCTGGACGCTTCCCCAGTGCAGCCATCTCGTAGACAGACCATGGCAGGACTCGCTGGCACTAAGGATTGGTGGAAGTAGTTGGAAGTGTAGATGTGGGTCTCTTTTCCTTGCAGTTGTCAGTGGTAGCTCTAGTGAGAATCGCCTCAATCGAGTTCTGTTAACAGAGAGAAAAACGGATTAATGACTTTTTCTACATATTTCTGTTAACAGAAATAAATAATTAATGACTTTTACTACCTATGTTAGTACTCTGCAGTCAGGCTTACCTCTAAGGATTTTCCATCTCAGTGAAACGACATGTCTGGAACGCTTCCCCATTACTGCCACCTCGTAGACAGACCATGGTAGGACTCGCTGGCACCAAGGATTGTTCTTTATGTAGATGTGGCCCTCTCCTTGTAGTTGTCAGTGGGTGCTTTATCGAAAATCACCACAACCGAGTTCTGTTAACAGAAAGAAAAAACAGATTAATGACGTTTCCTACACGTCTGTTAACAGAAAGAAAAATGGATTAATGACTTTTTCTACGTATGTCAGTAATCTGCAGTCAGGCTTACCCTTAAAGGTTTTCTGTTAACAGAAATAAAAACGGATTAACGACTTTCTTTACCCATGTTAGTACTCTGCAGTCAGGCTTACCTCTAAGGGTTTTCCATCTCAGTGAAACACCATATCCCCAATGGAGCCACCTCGTAGACAGAATGGCCACATTCGCTGGACGATTCCCCGATGCAGACACCTCAGACAGACCATGGCTGAACTCGCTGGACGCTTCCCTGATGCAACCATCTCATAGACAGACCATGGCGGGACTTGCTGGACACTTCCCCAATGCAGCCATCTCGTAGACAGACCATGGCAGGACTCACTGGACGCTTCCCTGATGCAGCCACCTCGTAGACAGACCATGGCAGGACTTGCTGGCACAAAGGATTGATGGAAGTAGCTGACGTGTAGATGTGGGTCTCTTTTCCTTGCAGTTGTCAGTGGTAGCTCTAGTGAAAATCGCCTTAATTGAGTTCTGTTAACAGAAAGGAAAACGGATTAATGACTTTTCCTACATATTTCTGTTAACAGAAATAAAAATCCATTAATGACTTTTCCTACATATGTTAGCACTCTGCACTCAGGCTTCCCTTTAAGGGTTGTCTGTTAACAGAAATAAAAACGGATTAATGACCTTCTTTACCCATGTTAGTACTCTGCAGTCAGGCTTACCTCTAAGGTTTTTTCCATCTCAGTGAAACACCATATGTCTGGAACGCTTCCCCATTATCGTCACCTCGTAGACAGACCATGGCAGGACTTGCTGGACGCTTCCCCGATGCAGACACCTCATAGACAGACCATGGCAGGACTCGCTGGACACTTCCCCAATGCAGCCACCTCGTAGACAGGATGTGGCAGGACTTGCTGGACACTTCCCCAATGCAGCCATCTTGTGGACGTAGCTGAAGTGTATATGTGAACTTCTTCTCCTTGTCAGTGGAAGCTCTATCTAAACAGAGAAAAAATAGAATTAATGACTTTTTTTACCTATGTGAACACTCTGCATTCAGGCTTACCTTTAAAAGGTTTCCATCTCAGGGAAACACCACATGCCGTCGACGCTTCCTCATTGCAACCATCTTGTAGACAGACCACAGCAGGACTCGCTGGACGCTTCCCCAATGCATCCATCTCGTAGACAGACCATGTCAGGACTCGCTGGATGCTTCCCCAATGCAGTCACCTCGTAGACAGACCATGTAGGACTCACCGGAGGCTTCTCCATTGCAGCCATCTCGAAGAAAGACCATTGCAGGACTTGCTGGACACTTCCCCATTGGAGCCACCTTGTAGACAGCCCATGGCAGGACTCGCTGGCACTAAGGATTGATCGAAGTAATTGAAGGGTACATGTGGCCCCTTTCTCCTTGCAGTTGTCAGTGGGAGATCTATCCAGAATAGCCAAAATCGAGTTCTGTTAATAGAAAGAAAATGAATTAATGACTTTTCCTACATATGTCTGTTAACAGAAAGAAAAATGGATTGTCACTGGGAGTTCTATCGAAAATCACCATAATCTGATTTTGTTTACAGAAAGAAAACCAGATTACGACTTTTCCAACCTATCTCAGCACTCTGCAGTCAGGCTTACCTTTAAGGGTTTGGATCTCAGTGAAACAACATATGCCTTGGACGCTTCCCCGATGCAACCACCTCACAGACAGACCATGGCAGGACCCACTGGATGCTTCCTTAATGCAGCCACCTCGTAGACGGACCATGACAGGACTCCCTGGATGCATTCCCTAATGCAGCCACCTCATAGACGGACCATGACAAGACTCGCTGGATGCTTTCCTGATGCAGCCACCTTGTAGACAGACCGTGGCAGGAGTTGCTGGAACCAAGGATTGATAGAAGTAGCTGACGTGTAGATGTGGCTCCTTTCTCCTTGCTGTTGTGAGCAGGACCTCTATCCAGAATAACCATCATCAAGTTCTGTTAACGGAAAGAAAAATGAATTAATTACTTTTCCAATATATGTCTGGCAACAGAAAGAAAATTGGATTGTAAGTGGGAGTTCTATCGAGAATCGCCATAATCTAATTCTGTTAACAGAAAGAAAAACGGATTAATGACTTTTCCTAAATATATCAGTACCCTGCACTAGGGCTTACCTTTAAGAGATCCCCATCTCAGTGAAACACCATATGCCTTGGACGCTCCCACAGTGCAGCCATCTTGTAGACGGACCATTGCAGGCCTCACTGGATGATTCCCCAATTCAGCCACCTCGTAGACAGACTATGGCAGGACTCGCTGGCACTTAGGATTGATCGAAGCAACTGAAGTGTACATGTGGCCCCTTTCTCCTTGCAGTAGTCAGTAGGAGCTCTATCCAGAATCGCCAAAATCGAGTTCTGTCAACAGAAAGAAAAACGGATTAATGACTTTTCCTACATATGTCAGCACTCTGCACTAGGGCTAACCTTTAAGGGTTTTCTGTTAACAGAAAGAAAAGCAGATTAACGACTTTTCCTACTCATGTCAGCACCCTGCAGTCAGGCTTACCTGGTTTTCCATCTCAGTGAAACACTATATGCTTTGGACGCATGGTAGGACTCGCTGGACGCTTCCCTAATGCAGCCACCTCGTAGAGACGGACCATGGCAGGACTCGCAGCACCAAGGAATGATCGAAGTGTAGATGTGGCCCTCTTCTACTTGCAGTTGTCAGTTGGAGCTCTATCAAGAAACACCATAATGGAGTTCTAGTAAAAGAAAGAAAAACGGATTAATGACTTTGCCTACCTATGTCAGCACTCTGCTTCCTGGACCTGTAATAGAAGAAACCTGGAATACATGGAAAATATGCAATGACACTACAAAAACATAGCCCACAGCAGAAAGCCGTGATGTATCCTGCGAAGATTCCTGAGCGACGATTCCTTGTGGTGAGAAGCGAAGGAGTTAGCTGGCCAGCTTATAGAAACGTCGAATCCACCGATCAGACGACTCCGTGAAAAGAAACAACAACAATGTCGATGAGCGATACGTTGACATGGGACGAGGAAAAGATTCGGTGAAATGTGAGTCGACTCCTGTGTCCTTTTTGCTTGATACGGGGCGCAGCACATGACATCCTTCTTGTTGCTCCAAATCTGTCTGCGTTGAATGAACGCAATTTCAAAATTTCCCGCTTTTATACCTTACCGTGAATTATAGTCACATGGTGGCGTTCCTGTTGTCACCAATGGTCAACTTGATCATAGGGGGTGACGTTTGATAGTGATGCGCAAAATTGATTATAATATCTTATTAGCATGTAGGGCCTACACTTTATTTACAATTTTTATTTTGATAATTCTGAATATAATTTTATTTGATAATAAAAGTAATAAGTACTAAGCACTGACTTCGAAATGCACAGGCAAATTTGATGACAATTTCTGAGCAACATACCTTCTCCCCAAAATTATGATGGACACGACGACCGTTAAACTGGTACAGGTAGCCGTGAACTTCTCACAGGCCACTATAGAACGTGTGTATTCGAACACTGCTCCAAAATGTGGATAATGTAATAGGGCGTAGGGTGACTGAGGGAGCATGGTTGTTTTGGTTGTAGTGAATTATAGTGAGTGAATTGAAAGTACACTGGACTTCGCATATACAGCCACCTCAGTGCTCTGAAACACATTTTGTAATCAACTGACTTGTTATTCTGAGAAATGAAAAACAAGTTATTGTGATTTTACGAAACGAAAGCAAGCAGCAGTACGCCAAATGAAAAATCTTGATAACTTTATACCTGGCAGTAGAAACGAATGAATATTTTTGTATATAAAAACATCTACTGGTTTACGTAATAATTAACAACGGACGTCTCTCTTCATAGCTTTGGGTTATCAGTACTCTGATGCCAGCAGCATGAGTAGAGAAAAACAGACAAATAAATACTATATAAGATAATACGATAAAAATTAAAAGGTCTTTGACCCTGCCCAGCTTGAAAATCGAACTCGGGACTTACATCGCCTGCCACGAGAACACTCACCGATTCTCTCTCTCTCTCTCTCTCTCTCTCTCTATATATATATATATATACCTTTTGGCGTAGGTGGTTATTTTTAGTTGTTTGATGTCCTTGTAATATTTTATTCATATATACAATCTTCTATTCAGTTACACCCTTGATTAGCAAGACGATATGGAAACGGGACACAGTCAATTGTTTTAGATGAAACACGGCAAAACTACATTCTCATAGACATTCTCATAGACGTGGATGTTTTAGAAAGAACCGCCCCTTTTGCTGAGAAAAGGTCCACCCTGGGTAAAATTTGATCTAAGTACATGAAGTTTTTATGGGAAAAGGTCCACTTTTTCAGAAAAAGAACCCCCCTTTTGAAATTGAAGGCTTATCACATTATACTTACAACTAAATTTCAGTTGTATTCATTCTGGTGATTTGTAAAATACATAGATCTGTTGATTTTACTTTTTATAGATAATTACATAAATATTCAAAGAAAACATGAAGATTGATTCAAACATTCAGTAATGGAAAGTTTAATTAAAAGTGAGCTGCCAGTTTGTTTGTAATGTTTGTTTTCTAAGTTATTAAAATACAGAATATAGGAAAAGGCCTCCCCATAAATATTTAATACAGCTTTTTAGAAAATCGTCACATATTCTTAAGAATAAATTACAAAGAAAAGTGTGAATTGTCTGTCTTCAAATAGCTAAGCTTTGAAAAATTTTAAATTTTAAATTTTGAAATATTTGCAGGTACAGCTATTCAGTGACCAAACGCCTTGTATGGGAAGTTCTATAGATAAGCTAAAAACTCCTTGAACCCTGTAATATTTTATTTGAATCATATGTTACAGTTTAGAACTCTGATAAAGTGGTTCCAGTAGAATTCAATACATTTTAAAAACTATTACGGTCTGGAATATACATGACTTTGCCATGAAATTTAGAACATCTTCAGGGGCGGTTCCAGGGTTATTTGAAGAGGGGTCCGCGGATGCAAAGAGGGGCCCAATGGTGGGCAATTTTTATTAATCGAAGGGGGGACAGGACCCCCCTGACACCCCCCCTAAACCCGGCAATGGTCGTAAGATAAGCACTATTCAGGGGTGGTTTGGGACCATCTTCTGGGTCTTCCAAAAGCCGATCAGATTTTCAAATTTACATTGACGGGTATCTAATTTTTTCTATCCAAAGACGGGAGGATCAACAAAGAAAACTTGGAAGACCGTCAGAAAATAGCTCTGGATCCGCTCCTGCTATAAGCCTTGAATGTCACTAATATATTAATATATTGTAAATTCAATTACGATTCCGGTTTTCTCTCTTTTTATTTTACTTCATTGATGGATGCCTAGTTCAGATGTACAGAATTTAAGAAGAATAAAACAGATATAAGCAATAAGGCAGTTTAATATACAAGTTTAATGGTATTTGATTTTTCATTAGCTATTCACAGGTTTTTCTCTGGTTAATTCAATGACATTTCTCCACTATGTTGCGTACAATCTGCTTCCCTGGTAAAGGGCATTTAATTCCAATGTAATGTGCAGTCTTTGTAATATTTCTGAGTCGGTGGATGCATCATTCCAAAATGCACAACCCTCTTTAAAAGTAAAAAAGACTTATAACCAACAATAAAAGTTGACAGTAATCCGGAACAGGATATAATCAAGATATTTATTTTCTTGAATTAGGACTAGGCCTATTAAGATTTTCGCTAAAATCAACTGAACGTGGTCTGAATGAAAGTATATCCTTACTATTAATAATAGTAATAAATGTTCGACAGAAATAAGACTTGCAATAAATTAGATATATTTAATAAAGAAAGAGCACGCATTAATTTTTAAACTAATCGTCAGATAAATTAACTAGTTAAGTCAGTCCGAATGTTGCTGTCATTGGTGTGTTAATTGCATATGTAAATGTTGTTCTCTCCTCGCTGTTGTCTCTATTTTATGTGTTAATTGTTGGCTGTAGGAGGTTAACATTGAGGCTCAATTCTCCTGCCCGTGACACCCTGAAGTGAGAAAAAGATTGATATTTGAAGAGGGATTAAATTCGTAAAAACCATCATTCACCCGCCATTTTTAGGCCTGATATCAAAAGATATCAAATGGAATGAGCAGGAAAGGAATAGCTTTGAATTGTTTCCTAGGAATCATTGATACCAATAAATAAATAAATAAATAAATAAATAAATAAATAATGACGAGATAATAAAAGCAATTTGTCTAACAATATTTTTTCAGTACAATTGCCCTCACATACGGTTGATTATTTAACAAGTGGAAATAACAAGTGAATTGCTCTTTGTTTTCGCTCGTGTGCCCTCCTCTCCCCTACCAATGTTTGAATACAACGTATCTAATTTCTTCCGACAAAAAAGATTAGCACACAACTTTAAAAAGGTGTTCTTTTTTCTTAAAAATAACCTTTTAACGCTCTTAGGTGCAATCAACTTGAGAGATATAGTTCTAATTGTGATTTCGAACTGAGTCAACCGTGAGATTTTTCCTCTACCCCCCCCCC